CTACCTGCTTCCACTCTGCTTTTCTTATTTTAAGCACAGCAGTGACCTTTTAAAAACACAAATCAGGCCATCGCATTTTCCTGCTTAAAATTCTTCAGTAGCTTCTCATTCACTCAGAAAATGCAGGCTCCTGAAGGTGGCCCAGAGTAAGGCCCAGGTGACTGAGCCCTTGCCGGGCCCTCCACGTCAGCCCTCCTCTGTCCCCATCTCCCACAAGGACCCTTTCCTCCTGCTGCCCTTCCTCCTTCACAGATGCCGCCACACTACTGTCCACTCCCAGTTCAAGGGCATCTCCGTGGAGAGGGCCGCCCATGCCCCGCCCACGCCCACGCCCCGCCCCGCCCCGCTGTCTCTGCGCTCAGCTACAGGCCCCGGGCACGCTTCACAGCACTACTACAATGGCAGTTAGGGATTCATGCGGGTGTGTTTTCCTTTGCTATGTCTCCACTTCCGCACTTAAGAACCACTGTCCTAGTTGTTTCTTGTTTTGTTTTATTTTGTCAGTTTCTTTTTTTTCCCCCCACAGAATACCCTGAGCTTTCCGGAGAATCTGAACATTGTAGATGATCGATAAATACCTTGAGTGAATGAGTGATAGATACAACCATAGATATTTACTATTTTTTATTGCCTACAGAATAGAAGTTGAAATTCCTTAATTTGGCATTCAAAGCCCCGACAGCTCCGTCTCCAGCCTACTCGCAAGCTCACCTTTCTCTGTGTGCTTTAGCCGCGTGGGCCCTCGGGGCCTCCTCGGTCTTATTTCTGGCCCAAGGTCACTTCCCGGGCCGCAGCGCGCCACCCTCCTGCTTCCCCAGACGCTCGTCTCTCTCTCCCTCCCCTTGCAGACTCATCTTGATCCTTCAAACCTCGGTCATATACCCACAAGGGTGTATTGGCCAAGGGTATGAAAGGCCATGAAGCCTTTCACAATTCCTTCATTGGGAATTAAATCTCCTTTTACGTGTCCACAGAATTTGGTGTTTGAATTCATGATCGCACTCAGGAGAGGAAAAGAAAGCCACAGGCAGGGTGTTGAAAGACACTGGCTCATATGCTACCTCTGTGGTTCCCAAGCCGCGAGATTCTGGGTGACCTTGCGAACTCTCTTTTATTCAGTTTCCGCCTCCGTCACCCGGTGCCCTGCCCTTGGCGGTGTGGTGGCGACAGTAACCGCAGGGCACCGTAGGCACAGTGAAGGTGCGGACGCCGCAGCCTGCTCGGTAACGTGGTCAAGTTGGACTCGTTCGTTTCCTCCTCTGCACTGTGAACCACTTCGATCTAATTCTTCCGCATCGAACCCCAGCCCCTGTCCCCCTCTGTAGTCGTATACACGTGGGAATGAGCAGTAAATGTCCAAACCCTCCGCACCTATAGAGGGGTCCGGCGAAGCAGGAGGCTGGGGCTACTGACACCGCCCTTCAGTTGAAGACGGCCCGGGGAGGAAGCGGCTGAGCCGGCGTGCGCTGCAGGCAGCCCCCGGCGACACCCTCCCGCGTCTGGGGCTGGAGCGCCCTGCTCCGGCCCGCAGTCTTTTCCTCGGGCTGCGGGGAGGACTTCCGCCGGCTCCGCGACAACCCGAGGAGGCCAACATTTCCCACTTGCAGCCCATCCTGAGATTTTTGTTGGCACCGAACAGTTGGGAATTTCCACCCCGATTTTTTTCTCTCTAAATTCTGCAATATATTGAACGGGTTCCAGCCAAGAGAGTTACTGCCTTCTCCTTGCCTGGATCTTAAATCTTTGTTCAAAGGCAGCTTGTTTTAATTGAAAGCGTTCAATCACTCTCTCCCCATCTCCCACCCACGTCCCATTTCTCGGCTCAGACAGAGCCATCGCAGTAAATAACCTGGAGTGAGGCTCTCGGGGTGTAGGCCACGTGTACCCTGGTCCGAGAGGGGTGGGAAAGAGGGTTGCTCCTGACAACTCCCACCTTAGAAACGGCCTTTCAAACAGAGCTTGTCTGCAATGATGAACACCTCACTGCGGGACATTTTACCGGAACGGCCCAACCCCGTTGCCTTTAGGAACTCCAGACAGTGGATGACCAAGGATACCTCCCAGGGCTGCTTCAAGTCTGTCTGTCACCGCAGGCTGGAAAGGAAGGGGCCAGGCTTCCCTCCTCCCCACTCATTTATTTGTTCAGTCGACTCTGGTTCCTTCGTCGGGCACACACTCTGTCACAACAATCCTGGGAGGCAGGCATCTTTGTTCACACTCACAGATCAGGAAGCTGAGGCCCAGGACTGGACCACTTATGGGAGGCCCCACAGAGCTCTAGTTCTCCATCGCTACACGACGGATCTGCCCCAAACTTAGAGTTTAAAACAATAGCTGTTCTCGCATGTTTCCTGCGGGTCAGAGATTTGGGAAGAGCTCAGCCGAGTGGTTCTAGCTCGGAGTCTTTGATGGAACCGCAGTGAGGCGGTGTCTGGAGCTGGAAGAACAAGGTGCTGGAGGAACTGAGGGAGGACCAGGAGCCCCTGTGTCGTGGTCTCTCCACGTGGTCTCTCCACGTGGTCTCGGGGCGCCTCCCTGCAGCCCTCCGTGGGCTACTTCAGGCTTCCTCACAGCACAGCGGCCTCAGGACCGCTGGCTTGGCGGTGCAGGACCCTGCTGGAGTATTCCACTAAGCAAGGGGCGAATGGCATCACCTTTTCTGACCTTGCCTCACCAGTCCCACAGCGTCACTCTGGCCACTTGTTTTGGTTACAAGCGAGCCACAAACCCACCCAGAGTCAAGAAGAGGGGACATAGACCCCATCTCTCAGTGGAAGGAGTATCAAGGTCATAGTGTAGAATAACATGGGAGGTGGAGCTACTGTTGCAGATGTCTTTGGAAAACACAATCCGTGGTACACAGCATGTGGCAGAGCCAGGACTGAGAACAGATACATCTGACTCCCAAACTTCTGCTGCAACTTTGTAGCCCAGTCCACAGGGAACTCTGCTTTTCATGGTGCCCCTTACCGTTGGTGCAAACATGCAAACAACTGTGATTTGGTCTCCTCCAGCTGACGAGAGCCGGCTGGGTCTGAGCAGCAGCTGCTTCCCTGTGCCTGGCAGTGCGGCTGCCTTCAGGGTCTGCTGGTCAGAAAGGTCATGCCCAATGCCAGCTTGTGAACTTTTTAAAGAAGAGGACAGAGAAGTTCAGTCTGATCCAGAGGAAGAAAGCAGGTGGCAGCCGCAGAGCTCAGCGAGCCTGCAGTGGAGCTCACTGTCATAAACAACTCGTCTGGAGTTTTTCCTTCTCCCTCCAGGCACTGGCGTGGGATGACTCAGCCCTGACAGAAAAGGTGCCCTCACGTTGGGAAACAGTCCAGGGGTGTGGAAAGTTCACGGATCTGGAGGCAGACATTCCTGGTTTTAGTCCTGACCTTGAACGAGTTCCTTAACATCCCAGAAAATGCCTTCCTCACTGGGTTGTTTTGATGATCGAAATGCATATGTAAGCAAAGCACTGAGTACAGTGTGAGGCTGCTATGTGCTCCAGAAATGCTAGTTCTCGTGTTCTGGGTCAGGCCCAACCCCAAGCTGGGGGCTTTTTGAAGAAGGTGGAGAGAACTCACTTGACTGTTCTGCAGATGCTGGTCCAGCCCCAAGGCTGTGGATGACATGGTGGCCAAGACCTGTGCCGTGAAGGGACAACTACACGGAGGTATCAGCAGGCAGAGGAGTCAACCCTGTGAGGCACGTGGAGGGCATGAGGGTCGTACGAGAAGACGGACGGTTTAGACGAAGACCTGGAGGGAAAACAGCCCGGTATCACTGGAGTGTGAAGGGCAAGGACGTGGGTAGAAGGTGGGAGGTGGCAAGCACAAGCCAAGAAACTAATCAGCAACCCAACTATGAAGGACTTTGTAAATCAAGTTCCAAGATCTGAAATTTAAAGGCAACTGGGATTCACAGAAGGGTTCTACTCAGTTGGGTAACATGGTCAAACCTGTGTTTTAGAACAGCCCTCCTGGCTATGTGGGGCGGAGGCAGGCCATCATGAGCACGGAGTCCCGCTGGGACAGGGGGCCGGTAATCCAGGGGATGGGTGGTGCCGGCTCTTTCTTGGACAGCAGGGACCTGGACAGAGGTGGACACACACGAGAGACTGGAGGTCTCATGGGGGGGAATTGGTGACAGTTTGGATGGTCAGAGCTGGGGCATAAGTGATATGTGGTTGGAGTGATGTCAGCTCAGAGGCCAGGGAAGAATGGGACAAGGGGAGAGAAGTACCATAGAAAAGCTTTATTTACTAAAGGAGCATCACCTGACTGGAGACTTGATAGGTGTAAATTAGCCAATGGAAGGGGGGAGGACTCCTGGAAGGGAAATAGCTCCTGTGAAGGCCCAGAGCGGTGAGACACAATGCACAGGGTACACACTGCATGTAGCTGACTAGGTGACTGCGGTACAAATGCGTACGTCAACGCTCACTGTGGTCCCCAGGGAGCTTGTATTTCAGTGGGTCATGAACCCTTAACCAAAGATCTGCCGTCGGTAGATTTCAAAGTGGAATGGGGGACACGATTTGGGACGAGAGGCTTTTGCCGTGGTCCTGGAGTGACCAAAGTAGGTGACTGACCCTGGAGGGTCAAGCGGGCCCTGTGCTGTGCACCACAAAGGGTGCCTTGCTTGTCCGCCTCCACACTGAGACACCTGCCGCCAGACCGCAGAAGCCCCGTGATTCCAATGGGACACAGTGCAGTCCGGGTGCTGCAGACAGTCTGCAGGGGCAGGCAGCCTAGACCACGCCCTGGGCCGCTCCTGCCCAGTTCTGTGGCTCTGGGCAGACTGGGACTTGGTGCTCCTGTTTCCTTGTCTGTTAAGTGAGGAAAATAATAACATCTACCATTTAAGGTTTTGTGAAGAATAGTATCTACCACATAAAACTTTGAGTAGTGAGTGGTGTGACTGTTTTTATTACTGTTGTCATTTCTAATACTGCTCCTTTTTTCACTCTGCCTCAATCTCTTTTCCGAGTGGCTCCTTAACACACACACTTGCAGATATGAAGCTGGGGCGGAATGTGGCCAGAACATTTTTGGACTATTACCGGCTGAACCCCATGGTTGAGAAACTGGCGCATCCCGTGCCGAGGCTGCGGTAAGTGGCTGAGCAGAGCAGTGTGGGCTGGAGTCCTGCTTCGCTGCATTCCTGTTCGGGGGCAACTCCCCTCAGCCTCCCTCCGGCCCTCAGTTTCCCGTCTGTGGCAGAAGAGCTTAACAGAGCATTTCCTGAGTGTGGAGCACAGCAGGAGTCAGGCAGTGAGGGGTGGCCACATTTCACAGGAGTCCGCAGGGATGGGCGTTACTGCAAGCCGAGTGCAGTCATCACTCTTAGCTAGTCTGGGTGGTACCGTGTGCTCCTTCATTGGAGAACTCATCCTCAGGGACTCCCACATCATCTCGGATCCTTCCATTTCCTCTTCCATCAGGAGGGGACTATAGCACTCAGTTGGAAGATTATTGTGAGGTGGGTGTTAAGGCCCAGGGCACAGTGCCATATAGTCCATGTCCCCTCAGTGCATGGTAGACCCCTTCTCTCAAGATGCAAATGTTCAGGGCTGGAGAGAACACACCCCTGAGAAGTTTCAGCTCCAGTGCTCTGCCAGGGCCAGGGAGGGGAGAAGGTCAGGAGAAGAGAATCCTTCCTGAGGTCTGGAGCAGAGGCCAAGACTCTGGGCGTTCCCATGCCTGCTGGAGATGAGCCCAGTGAGCATTTGGGCATCTGGGTTGTGCTGACCCTGCCCTGCCTCTTGGCTTTACTTCCTGCTGCCCCAGTGGTACAGCCTTTAGCGAAAGACGTGAAGATGTCTAACTTACTGCTCCTGCCAGACCAGTCTTCCCACTGTCCTTGCCAAAGACCTTTTGCTCTGCTGCCATGTGCTCTGCTTAACCTTGACCATGTGTTCTGCTGCCTCAGGGCCTTTGCACCTTCCTTCTTACCTTATTGTTAACAAAAAACTGTACTAATCACTGTTATTTTTTATTGAGTGAAGTAATAGTTCTACCCAGATCCTATTTACTTATTCCTTGTAGGTATTATATTTTCCATATTATGAATAAGGAAAAGAGGGCTCAGAAAGGTGAAGAGAATTGCCTGAAATTAAAAAGCATTTTTTTTTGTCAGAGACAGGATTTCATCCTAGGCTTTTATGATCCCAAAGCTGGACTGAAGTCCAGCTAAGTTCTACCTGGGAAGTGTGGATTCAAGTTCTTTCTCAGGCTTATGCTAACTATGGGGTCTTAGGCGAGGTCCTTGGCCTCTTTGAAACCTTTCTCTATCTGTAAAGTTGGGGTAATAACGACGTCCTCTAAAGATAATTTTAAAGATTAGATACAAGTTTGGTCCAGTGTCTGGCAGCCAGTAGGTGCTCAATAAATGTCTCCACCTCCTCTGGTTTCTTGGTTGCGGTCCCAGATTTCCAACAGGCTCACCACAGCTTCGGGCAAGTTCCCGGGCCTCTCTGGCTGGGCTGGAAGACCTCTTGGGACCCAGGCTAAACCAAGCTGTGAGTCACATGTCTCTGAGCCCCAGCTCCAGGCAGAGTCTGCATGACAATGCACTCTGACTCACGCATGGTCTGTCTGGATTGTTCACTGTCCTGTGGTCTCTGCATGGCTCCCAGCCCTTGGGGGAGGGTCTCATTTACTTTTCCTCGTTGCCCCCACAGTGGCTGCACTGTACCGATCTTGCACTTCTGTGTGCATTTGTTCACTGACTGCTTCATCAATTCATTCATTCACCCAGGAAAACAACACTTCATGCAAGGGCTCTGGGGGAAGGATGGAGCTGAATGCAAAAGTGGTCAAGGCACGACCCTGCCTTTGAGGGGCTCACCTCCAGAGAAAAGCACTCAAGTTCAGTCTTAGAAGTCATTCTTGATTGGTGAAAGTTCTTAAAAATTTAAAGCTTTATAAAACTGAAAAGAATCCTTAGAATCTCATTTACAAGTTAATGTGGGGATTGTCACTCAGGTCCTCTGTCAGCCTGATTAAAATTATCTTGATCTTTTACCACTTTTTTCTGGCCTATTGCATTGTCACCGACCGGTGAGAGGATGCTGACAGTCGGGGACCTTAGCAATCATCTGGGACCCCTCCTCACGATGGGGGTGAGGAAGTTGAGGTCCAGAGAGCAGACGGGACTGCTCAGATGCAGGAGTAGAGCCCGGGCCCCAAGATCCCCTGCCTGGTGTCCTCAGCATCAGATGGTGAAGAGTCCTTTGGCCTGGCGCGGGGGGGGGGGAAGGACACTGAAACTTGGTCTAGAGGATGCAGGGACTTCTCAGCACCTTGATTTCACCTTGTCATGGAAGTCCCTGTCCCTGTGTTTGGAGCCATCTTTAAAAAACAGTGGGAAAGCTCATTTCTCAAAGTTCGCAACCTCGAAGACTTAAAGGAAATGCACCGACCCTTAAATTAAGAAAAACAAAATTAACTCCCTTTCTGACCGCACATTGCCGCCTCAGCAAACTGTGGATACCACTTAGCTCTCAACTGGTCTGGAACTCTTTAAAATGAATTCCCAGGAGGATACAAGGGTCTGATTTGGGATTTGAATGTTTCCCTTTTCTTGTATTATTTTCCACTGAAGCATCAAATAGCATAAGTGAAAGAGCCGTTCTGGTTTTAAAGGAAAATTACATGTTTGACTCAAAATTAATCTTTGTTTTCTCTCATCTCTGTGAATAATTATAATATGTCAGTTTCTCCCCTTGTGCCGGAGGGAGCCTGTCAACATCCCTGGTGCCGGGCCATCATCCGGCCCCAGGGTCCCCAGGGAGGGCCAGCAATGTGGGCCTGGCAGCCCAGGCTCGGGGACGAGATGGATGAAAACTGGACAGGAAAAATGAACAGGCCAGGCAGGCCTCCGTGAGGAGAGATCCTGAGAGTGGTGGGGGAGCCGCCTGCTATTTGGGAGGTGGGCTCAGGCTCCTTGGAGGCCGGGTGGGCTGCCCCCATTGTGGGGCTTTGATGCATGTGCACTGGTGGGGAGTAGGATCATCGCTCAGCACCCCGGAGCCCGCCAGGAGCCCGGCCCTGCACCGGGTGCTGGGAGGACACAGATCACCCTTGCCCGTCAGGAGCCCAAATCTACAGAAGAGAAAGGCATGTACACAGGCAAAGATAACGAATGATACAGAACAGTGTCCCCAGCTGCTCAGCTACCTATGAGCACACTTTGAGAGATGACACCCTCTCTCAAAAACCTGCCGTGACTCCCCACTACCTTCAACATAATATTTCAATTCTTCTTATTGTTCATGCAAAGCCCTGGCCTGCATCTACAACCTCATACCCAGCCTCTGACACACCCCTTCCCCTTGTGAGCACCTTCTCCACCCCCCCCCCATCTCTACCACATCACACCCAGCGCTTTAGCGAGAACAAGTCAGCTATTTTCATACCTCCCTCCTCGGCTTTGTTCCTCTTCCTGTTCCCTCTTCCTGGAATGTTCTCCCTGTTTGTCAGTGGCTGGGGAACTCCTCCTCGCCTTTCAAAGCCCAGTCCACATATCACACCTCTGTCTCTGTTCTCCACCTGAGACAGAGCTGCTCCTCTCTGTGGGGTTCCTCTCTGCATTTTACATACACCTGCAGCCTGGTGTGTCCCACGGTGTGTGGTCCTGGAGTCTTTGCACATCCGGCTTCTCCACTAGACGGGTTCTCCTTATGGAACTTAGTCACTCCTGTATCTTCGTGCACAGAGCAGGAATGAGCATGGAGTGCGTCCTGAACCGTAAAATGATGGAACGGAAGAAGCTCCCCAGGAACCGTCTACTTCACCCCTTCATGTTACAAGAGAGAAAAGTGAGGCCCAAACAGCAGTTACTCTCTGATACCATCTGGTGCCAATGAGTGTCCCAGGAAGGCCTCAAAGAGGAAGTGGGGTTTGAACTTGGTTTTAAAAGATGAGTAGAATTCAAATGAATGGAATAGAAATGAGAGAGAAGGTATTTCATGTTGGGGGATTGGTTGTGAAAGGTGAGCAGCAAGGCCTAAAAAGAGACATGGGCTCTTCTCAGTATTTTAGAAATAAAGAAACTCAGGCTCAGAGAAGGGAAAGGACTTCTCCAATATCACATTACCAATACACAACACTCCAAGCGTGTGCTGCAGGCTGTGAATGGGTCTAGCTGTATCTTTCCCATGCTGGGCAGGCTTGCCATGATAGCAAGATCCTTCTGTGAGTGCAGCATTTCAGACAGCGAGGCTTCCTGGTCGGGGAGCTATGTTGGAGCAAGGTGTCCCCTTTGTGTGGTGTAACCCATTGTCTTTGCCTTACTTGTGAGCCATCAACAATGATAGAAAATAGATATTCCAAGGCCAGAGCGTGGGGGGCTACGAGAAGTCACTTTTCAACCCTAATTCCAATAGCCTAAGAGATTTCCGTATTCATGGCATTTACCACTTTCTGCCATGCACTATAGTTCTGTGTTACTTTGTGTAGTTATTAAGGGCAATTGTCTCCTCTACTGAACTCATGCAGCCTGAGAACAGCATCAATGTCTGACTCATTTTTGTCACCTCTAGGACCATTGAACCATGCCTAACACGTAGCGTCATGCCTTTGTAAGTTACAGTGCATCTACTCATAATATTTCATTCAACATCACAGTGCCCCTACAAAGTTGGAATACTTTATCCCAATTTTGCAAATGAAGCTCAGAGAAGTTAAATAACTTGGCCAAGGTCACACCTCTCATGTATAGCTTATCTGGGAATTCATCTGAGTTATTTCTGGCTCCAAAGTCCGCTTATTCCACTGCCAATAGATCTTAGTCCGATGCATGGATGAATGTGACTTATCAGTCGCAGCATAAGACCCTGTCTGAAAGAAAATGCAAACACGGATTGGACTTGGCCCCTGCCCACCAGGAGCTCATAGTCCAGTGTGTGAGCAAACAAGACAGCGGACAATTGCCGAAGAGTAGTGTTAAGGGTGCTGCATTGGGTGCTGGTGCTGGGTGCAGGGACACTGATGAACCAGGCACATCTCTGACTTCCAGGAGCCCCCAAGCTTGAGGAGGAGACAGGCCCTTCATGAAATGCCACAGTCAGGCTGCACTGAGGGGAATAAAGAGGACTCTGAAGCCCCGAGGGTTGTGAAGGCGGTGAGGTCCTGGGCTCCCCCAAGCCATGGCTCCTCTATGTGCCCACCCCCATCTCATCTCCAATGGATAGCTCGAGTTAGAACCAAGGTGCAAAGGTGGAAGAGTTGAGTGGTAGGGAAGTTAGGTTTTCTCCAGAACCAGGACGAGACAACATATCCACCCATCCATCTATCTAACCGTCATTCACTGAACCACTGTGCTTGCTCTGAACTGGGCCCTAGGCTGGGCTCCCGGGAAAAAACAAGACTGCTGTTCCTAGGAGGTCAGAGTTCAGTGGGGGACATGGACATGCACACAAATGCTTCCAGTACAGTGTGTATATGTGCTGTCTTTCTTCTCTCTGTTATCTCCCCCTTTGCAGGAAAGAAAAACCCCCTCCCCACAAGTACCCACTCCCGAGGGGCCGGGCCAGCAACTACCCCAACGGCAAGAGGGACAAGAAGAGCTCAGTGGACCCCAGAGACCCTTCGGGCCTTTTTTGAGGACATGAAGTCCGGGCAGTCTTGTGGAGGCAGGAGCGTGCGCTTTCTGCTGGGCATGGAGTTGATCGCCCTCTTAGTTTCCAAGATCAGGGCTGTGGGATCACGAAAAAGCTAGTGAAAGGGGAGGGGAAAATGAGAAGTTTCGTCATTGATTCTCCCTCTGACCAATGGGAAATCAATTGTAAGGCTTCAGCTTACGTCTCAGGAACGAGATAGGAGAGTCAAACCAAGCAAGGACAGGTGACCTTGTCCTCCACACAGAGACCCTCACAGGAAGGGAAAGGGATGCACCCCCTTCGAGAGGTTTGACACACCTCAGGTCAGTTTACCTGTTTCGGTTGTGTATTTACTCCATGCAGATGGCCACCTTTCAGAGTGAGCTGAGAATAAGTTTACAGTTGTAGAAAAGCTGTGTCCATATTTGCTGGTCCAAAATAACATCAACCACACTTACAACCCAAAGACAAATGTACTGTTGGGAACAGTGGGACAGCATTTTTGAAATCAGTTTGTCTTAGACATTCAGCAACTTTATGTATGAGTTGCATGCCCCTTGACTCTCCCGAACCCCAGCATGCAACGTCATAAAACTGTTCTGAGAGCTATTTCCCAATTTTAGCTCCAAAGATAGTAAGTATTGGTCACTCGTGCTCCACATCTGGTGGTCACAGATCAAACCTGGCCACAAAAAAAGGTGGGCATTTACTCTGAAATGGGGCAAGGCTGACTGGCAGGCAAGGAAGATACAAGAGACAAAAAAGATGCACTCTGAGTCAGGTGGGGATGATCCAATAAAACAACAGCAGTAGCATTCTCCAAGGTGGGGCAAGCTTAATATTGTGTATTTTTCTAAAGAGTAAAGTGCCTTTGTATGATGAATGGGTCCAGGAGAGTCTGCTCCCTCTCTGTCTGCTTGGCAGTGCCGCAGGCTGAGTCACCGTGACAACCTGCTAATTAAAATGACCTCCCGGAAATGAGGATTAAGGGATAGGGGGAGGAAGGGAGGCTCAAGGGAGATAGGGCCTTTAGCACAAAGCTCCAGTTAAGCACTTTTTTTTTTTTTGCTTTGGGTTGAAGATTTTCTAAGTTTGTTGCAAAAATTGAGAGCAAAGCTTATTCTCCCTTTGCTTATTGGTTTTCAGCAATTATAACAAAGAACCGTATGTTCGCTGGCTGCAAATGTTGTGTCGTGTATACAGCTTCTCCCCTGTGTGCTTGTTGCCCGGAGGAACACAAATAAAGTGGTTCGTGCAGCTCTTCTGTCCCTCTGTGTGTTCGTGGTACCTTTCCCACTAGGTGTCCCACTCTTTCCAGAACCAACCAGCCAACCCAAATTTCGTGTAACCCCCACTTTGTTTCAGGGACTCTATCACCAAGATAAGGTGGAACAGTCAAGACTTGACTTTCCAGCAGTTATTGTTGTAGGCAACAGATGGGTCGATACATGCTCTCGGAGACGAAAATTGGTTTCAAAGAATTTTAGTTTTATTAATCACAAATAATGGTCCAAATATGAATTTAGTGGCCAAGCTTTACCTGCGCAGGGGCGAACTTCCCAGATGTGATTGGAGCCATGTAGCTACCCAGAGCTACCAGATGGAAGTCGCGCATGGCTTACAGACTACGGGGGTTTTTATAGGGCAGAGCAAGCAAGCGCGGGCTTACAGAAGCAGATGTGGCAGTTAGGTATTAGCTAGGTTGCTAAGTTGAAAACGGCGAAGGTCCCTAATTGGTGGGTGTTGCTGCTGGCGGGCAGCTGCTGGCGGGCAGCTGCTGGCGGACATCTTCTGGCGGGCCCTGGTTAGTTACCTTGTTTGGCTAGAAATTTGAACCCGACCGTTCCCAGATGTTTATTCATTACCCAGTCTCAGGAACTGCAGATGCCTAATGGCTGTCTGTATGTTTCCACTAGTAATGGCTATTACATTATCATGTCAGAGTCCTGGGGACTTAGTGGACGACATTCAGCTCAACAGGAGCCAACAGTGAGGCAGCTCTTTCAGAAAGGACAGCATCTCTTGAGACAGCATAAATAGAGGCAGACCGCATAAAATAAGAGAGATGGAAGTCCTGGTCTGTTTTTCTCTGGCACGATCATTCCTGTATGCTGTGAATATATTTAGGCCCCACTTTTAAAAACCTGTTTCAATTAATTGGCTCACAGGCCTCAGAAGCAGTGGGTATGCTAATAGTTCATGAGCAAAAACCTGGAGCCAGGCAACTCTGGGTTTTCATTCTGTATTCTGACCCTGGTCCTGTCTCTTAATAGCTGTATGATCTTGGGAAAATTACTTAACCTTTCTGAATCTTAGTTTTCTCACCCATAAGGTGGTAATAATAATGTCTACCTCATTGTAGCAGTTATGGAGGTTTAATAACTGAGGTATGGGGAATACCAGAAAAGGTGCTCAGTAAATGATAGCTCTGTGATTGGTTATGTCCCCAGCAAGGTGTGTTGTCTGCCAATCATTTCCCAGTAGAAATGGAAGAGGATAGTGAAGTTGTTTGTCCCTGAGATTAAAAATAATAATAATAATAAGGGGGAGTGGAAGTAGGAAAGCCATCTGTAAAAAGTTAAAAAGATATCTTGGGCATTCTTTTTGTCCAGAAGAAGCAAACTTTCTCTGTGTTGTCAAAAGTAAAAACTAAGTCTAAGAAAGTATTCTCAGTAAGATAGATTTTAGTTTAAAAATGAGGTGAATAAAGTTGCCAATCACTGAATGGGCTCCTGTGGAAACAATGAACTCCCCATCACTCGAGGTATGCAAGCAGAGTCTGAATAAACACTGGTCATGGAGGAAGTGGGCTCCTTCTCTAGGGAGGTGCTGGATGCTCTGTGGCATCACCTTCTAATCTGTTGGTCTGGACAGAAATGGTGTGAAGCAGGAGGTTACATAACTGATGTCAGAGAATGGAGTGTACAGCATGAAAAGTATATTTTAATGCTAAGCAGGTGTCATTCAATGTGTCTAAATTACAGCACACGGACTTTGCTAACATGTAGTACTCCTTTAGAGGAAAAAACACAAGGCTATGAAGCTGACTGTAGGATGTTTTTGCAATAGTACTTCCACAATAGCTCTTCCACATTGGCAGAGCAGAGAGGAAAGGCCTGACCATGAAAGGAGGAGTTTCCAGGGGACCTCCCTGTGACCTTGGCTGCTTAACGACTCCCTAGCTTTTTGGGATCAGATTATGCCTATGGTCTCAAGTTAGCAGAGAAGGATTTCAGCACTGAGCTAGGGGACAGCACCAACCCAACCCGAAAGGTGAATCAGCCAGAAGCTACTCGCCCACTCAGACCCAGCAGAGGGCGCTCTAGCCTCTCTTCTTGCCTGCCCAGTTCGGGTCTCCGGATAGAGCCAAAAGCAGTAAGGGGAGAGACAGCTATACCAAAAAAAAAAAAAAGTGGAGAAGGGAGAGACATGCTGGGCCTCTACTTTGTTCTCACTTAACTCTTCATAAGCAGTGCCAATGTTTTTCTGCATCAGTCCAGAGGCTCAGAGACAGAAGTGAAGGTCTAGTTGGCATCAAAAACTGAGATCGACAAGTAGGAGGCCCTCTTGTGCTGAGGCCACAGCAGAGGCTGGGTCACCTGCCTTGATGATACTGTTAGCTTAGCAGCAGCAGCAGCCGCTGCCGCAGGGAACCTTTAGCCAGATTTTCCTATTGCCTTCGAATAGCAGAGGGCACAGGAGGAGCTGCACCCTCTCTCGGTAATTCAGTGGCATGCCCCAGGTTTGCCCGGGAAGACCCCAGTTCGTTTTCCTAACTCGTAAGAGCAGTGCCAACCATGGAAGTTGGAGTGGTTTACATTTGTTGAGTGTCAGTTCATACATTTACCCAAGCAAAGCGGCTTTGCATGGTGGGACTCCGAGCAGATGGGTAGGCAGTGTTGAGCACAGTGTTCACCAAGCCTGAATTGAGGCAGAACTGACAAGACTAAAACACGGTGGGGAGGGTATTGGTTCTCCAAGATTCCATGTTTTAATAAAACAACAACAGACAAAGCTTGGCAGGATTTATAAGAGACTCCTTCTACATTATTTTTGATTGGCACACAGTTTCTCAGGAACAGTCCCTGTGAAGTTATCATACCGGTGGATACACTCTGCCTGCTACAACTCAATACATTCCCTGAAGAACCATCCCCCATATTAGCCCTTTCTACTCTCACCAAACCCAGGTGCATGCTGGACCGGGCTTGTGTTCCCCATTTCTCAGGTGAAGAAACTGAGATCAGTGTGATTAAGTCCCTTGCCCATGGTTCACACCTGGAAAGTAACAAGGACAGGACATGGGCACAAACCTGACTCTGCCACCCCCCACTGGGCAGGGGGTTCAACCCCAGACCTCAACATGGAGCCTGGCCAGTGCAGAACGGTACCCCCGTGTTTCCTGCTACAGCCCTTACTGCTTAAATTTTACCTGTCCCTCAAAGACCTGAGATTTACCTTCAGCTGGCCTCATATCAATCACAAGTCCAAAGCTGCTTCTCCCCACGGCACCAGCTGTTCTTGGTTAATGTCTCATTTTGCTCAGACTGGAAACCTTGCTGCTGTCCTAACTCCCTCCCCCTCACCCCACATAGCCAGTCACCATGCCTGCTGTGTCTGCCTCTGTAACATTTCTGCCTTCACACAGCATAACAGAGCAACTCTGGAGTCAGACCAGCATTTTTATCTCAGCTCCCCCACTTGCTTTTTTTTTCTTGCCTTGTGAATCATTTAAAGCAGAGTTTACTTTCCCCATCTTTAAAATGGGCGTGCAATACTTACTGGCTGGACTATTGTGTACTTTCCTTCCTCCCCCGCCCCATCCACGTTCCCCTCCTTACCCGCCATCGTCTCCTGCCTCATTTGCTGTCCCAGCCCCTCCCCGACTCCCATGCCTCCAGTTCTCTGTCTCTCCAGAGAGCCCACGGGATCTCTCTAAAACCAGACCTGGTGTTTACAGCATCTCTTTCAAATCAATTGCCCAGGCCAGGAGCCTGGCCAGCAGCCTGTTTCGGTGTCTCTCACACTTCTCTTCTGATCGATTCCCACATCCTGCAGGTTCTGCCTGCTGGGTGCCTCTCACATCCACCCACCGTCTCTTCTCTCCTTCAGTAAAGAAAACCCTTCCTTTCATCCCAGGGTTGGCCCAGACGTGCCAGCTCCATGACGTTCTCCCCGAGGCGTCTCCTCCGTTGTAATTAATTGCTTCCTTTTCTTGTATCCCCCAGCACTTTGCTTATTTATGTATTTATTTCACTCAGATGATGGTCACCTCTCCCACTATCACTGAATTTCCAGAGAGCAGAGGTGGGGCATTATTCATCTCTGCACCTCTTACAGCACCTAACACAGTTCCAGGCACATCTGAGGCAGTCAGTGAGAATAGCAGAACAAAAGAAACGATGAAAGGACCTCAAATCCAAAATTTCACCCTGAGCTCATTCCAGTAAATGAACCTTAATTTCTGACTTATCTCTGTCCCCAAAGCATTGATTACTACTGCGAGTACTACTATTACTACTGCTGCTGCTGCTGCTGCTCCTATTACTGCTACTGACACCATTACTGCTCTTACTGTTAATGTGCTGCTGCTCCTGTACCTCTCTGCCAGACTGGGGTCCTGCTGGGTTGTAGACCCTACACTGGTTGCTTTATCTCACACAATCCCATATAATCCTCTCAACAGCCCTACAAAGTAGGAATTATTCTCTTCATTTCCCTAATAAGGAAACAGAAGCTTAGAGAGGTAAAGTAATCTGTCCAAAGTGACAGCTCCTGAGGGGAGCCTGGATGTCACCAGGCTCTGGTGCTTGCATTCTGTCCATTCTCCCCTCGGCCATTCTGTTCCCAAGACTGATGACACAGGAGATATTTAACGCTTGTTATAAAGAGCCTCTCCCTCAGGGAGCTCACTGGTTCACTTTTGTTCCTGCACATGACCTCATTGGGTCATGTGTCCCTGAGCCTGGCTCTGGGTTTTCTCCTTTGCAACTTGATGTCCCTGCATGTCCTCCAGGCCCAAGCCTCTTCCTTTGAAATAATGGTCAGAAATACTTGTCTTCACAGGCAGAAGACAAGAGAGTGTTTTGCTGGGAGATCGGGGTGGGATTTGCTGAGGAGGCCTGCACTAGCAAGCAGGTGCTGGTCACTGGCTGGAGGGCGTTTTCCCACGAAATAGCCCAAGGCCTTCCTCTCCCTTCACCCCAGGTTACCTCCTATCCT